GCTTTGTCACTGCGAGCCCATCCCTGCAGGTCCACGGGCTGGTTTCTCTGGTATTGCTACATAAAGTTAGGACAGTATTGACCCTTGTGTTAGCCTGGCAGGGTGGGGGGAGGCATTGCTGACCTGTCACTTTGGTATAGGAAATGACTTTGTGCCGTTGAACCTAGAGGGTTTGGAGGAAATGCAGTACAGAAGTTATCGCACCCACGCTTGAGGTCTGGCTCTTTCTGAATGACTGCAACCATCTCCAGCGAGCCTGTTAAAAACCCGAGTTACCCAGAGCCTGCTTGTTTTTACAGGAAAGGACCGTGGGATGTTTGCTGCTGGTCTCTGCCCTCTGCCTGGCTGTCTGCGAAGGCAACAAGAGTGAGTCTCCCTGTGCACTGTCCCTGCTGGGTCACAGACAGGCAATATAGAAAGGAGAGGTCACACCCTCACCCAATCCATGTCCAGGTTGCTCATTCAGGGCACTGCTGAAGGCTGCTAAGGGGGGACGACAGAGGGCGGGGCAGGAATTGGGGTGCAAGAGTCGGCAAAATGGGTAGAAACCGCAGCCTCTCCGTCCCGGCCACCTACGGTATATAACCCATGGAGATGAGCAGAGGTGCTGTGCTGTGCCACCACACTCCTGGTGGCAGGCTCCATAGCTCTAATCCAGATTACGGCCATGCTGAGGATGTCGCCCAGGTTCTCAGTCGCATCTTCCCAGGCAAGCTGAGGCGCCCAGCTCTTCCTCCGATGTGCCTACCCTGGTGCCAGGCGAGGACCTCAGCCCTTGCGAGCTGTGCCAGGCTTCATGCCGTGGGATGAGTTCTCTCTCATGTCTCTCCTAGGGGAGATATTCTTGCTGCCTTTTGGCTTACTCACCTTCCCTTTGCTGCAGGTGAGCTGGGGAGCCCACACAGCCTGAGGCGAGGGGTTGCCCTCCGTCTCAAGAAGAGCCCAGACGCCTGCCTGCCAAACCCGTGCCAGCACCAGGGGGACTGCCAGGTGGTGGCAGACAGAGCAGTGTGCAGCTGCAAACCGGGCTTCACAGGGGCGTTCTGCCAAGGTAGGGCTGGCGGTGCTGGCAAGGCCTCCCTGGTCTGTCCAGGGGACCAGAGGGAAGGGTGATGGGCACGGTGCCCTGGTGTTACCACTGCTCTCCACTGCAGGCTTCGGGAGCACATCCCAGCTCTTGGTTCGGGTACATTCCCCACCACCACAACCACCATTTTCTTCCTCTCCAAAAGTCTTAATTCCTGTGAGAAAGAAACCTCGGCTGTCAAGAAGTTGTACCGTGGTGTAGCTGTGTCAGGGCAGCAGGGCCTGCTGCAGAGCGTGGCCGCCTCACGGTCTCGCCACAACCACATAGATGCCAGCACAACTATGATGAAGGCTCTGTCCAGGCACTGACCAAAAATCATGTCTTGTTCATCTGCCAGAAGATCGCTGTCCCTGCCTGGCACCCTTGGCAGACTGCAGTGATTCTGTAGACAGCCCTCAAAAGGGGCCAGACCCACAACATCTGCCTTTGATGTCTTAAGCTTAAGGGCTGTGTGTGTTCAGAGTAGTGCCAGCCGTGGACCTGTGCAGGTCTTTGGCAACCAGTAGCAAATGACAGACCCACATTAACTCCTGCACATTCCCAAAGGTTTGTCTTTCGCCCAGTGTCTCTGAAGAGCCCTACGAGCAGCCTCCAGCAAGGCTGGGGTGAGGGTCTGTTGAGCTCAGTGGGACCGTGCCATCCTAGAGCTGACCTAGGGCTCCTTCAGGCCTCTTCCTTATTGCTATTGCAGATGGCTTTTTCCCCCAGATGTGGTACTGAAGTTGACCTGCGAGGAAGAGCACATGAAGATGATGGTGAGGAAGGAGGTGTTTGAGCTCTTGAAAATCCCCCGGGAGCTTGTCCACCTGAGGAACCAGGCATGCAAGGTCTCAGAAAGGGAAGAAGAGGGCGAGCTGTTTTTTGCCGCCACTCTTACAGGTGAAAATCACACTGCCTGTGGATCAATAATTCAGGTAAGGATCTAGCAGAGCCTCTCTCCATAGCTCTGAAGCCGTGAGAGGAGCAGACCTGCTGAGTGGGGACAGCAAGGGGAAGACCTGGGGGCTTTTCCTTTCATAGTTGCGTCCTGTAAAGTTCTCGTTCCCCTTGGAAGGCTTCCCTGGGGGCTGTCAGAAAGCTCTTCTGCCTTCACCAAACCTCTGCTGGCAGCACATCGTGTCTTATTCAGCAGAGCATGGAAGTATCAGTGTGCTCTCTATTAGCTGATAGCAGCCCTTGGCTTTCTGGCCATGTCCTCTGAGCCCTGCAGCCCTGGCTGTAGCCCCTTGCTCCCTCACTTGATTCATGGGTCAGGGAGGGTGCAGAGGAACCGGGGCTACAGCTTTGCACTGGCAGGAGGGCCCTCACCTGTGGTCAGTATGCTGTGTCCTGCCTACTCCAGTGCTGGTTGCCAGTAGCCCCCGGATACAGGGCTTGAGCAGAAACTCCAGCAGATACCCAGGAGGCCTGGGGCAGCCATAGTTGAGTTGCACCATCTGAACTGGTGCTTGGAGCTCTGTGCATGGACTTAGACATGGTCTGGAGACTTGAATTCTGTGTTGTTCCAGCAAAACAGCTCCCACGTGTTGTACTCCAACGTCATTGAGTCAGAGCGGGAAGTGCACAGGGGCGTGATCTCCCGGACTTTTCAGCTGGAGGTGCATTTCTCTTGTGTCTACGCCTATGAGCAGGTGGTAAAGCTGCCCTTTGCTCTCACTGCTGTCGACAAGTGAGTAGCCCCTCTTTACCTCGCTGCTAACACAGTACCTGTGAGCTTATGGGAAAATAGATGCCTTTGAGGAGGTGATCTGCAAAGGCCATGGGGAGCCCCTGGTGAGCTCTGGGAGCAGTGCCACATCAGGGTGCCTCCCTTTCTCTTACCAACATAGGTTTTCAACACACAGTTTGGGCCTGGGACAGAGCATGATCTACCTTTCTCCTATCCTCACTGCTTGAAACCAGCTAGCCAAAAAATAAAGGGTGGGAACTGAAGGATGCCTGCACCAGCCCCCTGTGGTTAGGACCCCCTGGGTTGCCTTTTTTGTAGCCCTCACTGGCCAGCAGGTCTGTGGGAGCCCCTGGAACTCCCTGCCTCTGTCCGCACATGGCATGGACACACCAGCGAGGAGGCAGCTCGGGGCCTGGCTCTCAGGAGGCTTCACCCAGGAGCAGAGGCACATCCAGAGCCAGTGCAGCTGCACCAGTGGCCTGACCTGTGCCACGTCCCTCCTGCTTTCTCCCTGGTAACGGGCAATGGGATGAGGGGAAACGGCCTCAAGTTGTGCCAGGGCAGGTTTAGGTTGGACATTGGGAAAAATTCCTTCCCTGCAAGGGCTGTCAGACACTGGAAGGGGCTGCCCAGGGAAGGGGTCGAGTCCCCATCCTTGGGGGGATTTAAAAGACAGGCAGAGGAGGTGCTTAGGGCCAGGGTTTAGTGGTGGGATGGCAGGGTTAGGGGAACGGTTGGGCTTGGTGATCTTAAAGAGCTTTTCCAACCCAAATGGTTCTGTGATTCTGTGGTGGTTCTGCTCGTGAGCTCTTCTCCTCTCCTCTCCTCTCAGGCTGGTGCAGTTTGTGGTCAGAGAAGGACATTTCAATGTCAGCATGAGACTGTACAAGACTCCCTCCTACCTCCAGCCCTATCACCTGCCAACCACAGCCATCCCTGTCACGGACACCCTTTTTCTGAAGATAGAAGGGCAGCACCAGCGCAAGTACTTCCTGCTCAGCGTTGGGGACTGCTGGGCCACACCAGGTGCGGATCCCTACCAGGATGTGCGGCATGAGCTCATCGAGAAGGGGTGAGTGGCATGCCCCCTGCGCACCCAGTCTCCTTGCACCATGAGCACAGTTGCGTTGCTTTGCTGGGTGCTAAGGACAGGTCGCTGTGAGGGAGCAGTGACACCATCGTGGAATAGGTGAAACAGCCCCATGGATGAGCCCCCTAACTGCCCTGAAGCGAGCCCCCTCCCCTGACCCTGCTCTGCTGCCAGTAGTGCTGCCTTCCCCCTAGCATTGCTGCTGGCCAGCTGGGGAGGCAAAGGGCAAGGGCAAGGGCAGGAGAGGGGAGACCTTGCTGGGCTGTGCACAGAGGTATCTGCTGAAGAGCTTGCTTTAGAGGTGGCTGCAGCCAAGCAGCCAGGTAATGTGGCTATCCAGGAAGAGGGAGCCACAGCTAGGCTCACTGCACCCCTGCAGAGCAGCTGTGGCCACACAGAGCATGAAACGAGCCAGCTCCTGTGCTGGTGGCAGCTCCTCCTTGACCTAGGCACAGTGCAGGGTGCCAGGGACAGGCACCCCCACCAGCTCTGAGACAGAAATAGTCCTGTTCAGCAAACCTCAGGGGCAGTATCCGGTCCCTGTGTGCTCTGGTGTCCCACGCCAGGGTGCTCCCCGCTGTTTGCCACCTGCTGACTCAGCCATTGTGTCCCAGGTGTCCCCACGATGAGACGGTGACGTACCTGAATGCCATTGGAGAGAGCACCACCGCCAAGTTCAGCTTCCAGATGTTTCAGTTTGTTGGTTACCCCGAGGTATTCCTACACTGCCGTGTCCAGCTCTGTCTCCCCGACAGCCCGGAGCCCTGTGCCAAGGTGAGCCATCCCAGTGGTCTGCCCCGTGCCCTTGGCCTGCTAGTGGAGAAGGGGCTCTGCTCTGGTTTCGGGTGCCTCAGCACAGTAAATGTCTCCCAGGGCAGGAGCTCACCCCAGTGCCCTGAACCAAAGGAGCAAGGGCTTGAACCCACCAGAGAACCTTCCCTCTTCCTTCTGACTGCTGGGTATTTGCAGGAGGGGAGGTTTATGGACTTGTGGAAGAGCAGGCTAAGGTCCTGCAGGAACCAGCTCCTCTTGTGCTCTGGGGTCTTGACTGCTCCCAGGCTGCAGCCCCAACTGTGCCTCTGCCAGGGGGAAACCGCCAGGACAAGGACAGCTCTTACTCCCCAGAGAAGGCTTCTCACCTGCCCTCTGGTCCCACCACCCTTTCCTTGGCTTTGTTGACAGCAATGCCCCAGCCGCCAGAGAAGCAAGCGGGCTCTGGCCGATAACTACAATAAGATCGTCTCCTACGGGCCCATCCACCTTCTGGCTGCTCCTTCCTTGGGGGCAGAGACCCACCATTCCAGGACTGACCAGCAGGACCCAGGGGGTATGTACGTCCCTCCACAGAGGGCAGGAGTAATTCGTGCACCCTTGCAACTCTCTAGGCAGTGCCAGGTTATTTAACAGTGCTGTTAAACCCACGGCCCTGAGCAGAAGCGTGGGGTCTGCACAGCATGCTCCAGAAGCCAAACCAGCGTGGAGAGGTTGGCTCTGCGTGCGTGGCTCCATGCCAGGCACAGGCTGGGCTGAGCAGGGGAGCTGGGGCTGTCGGTGCAGCACCCCAGGCTGGGCTTTCCCCATGCTGGACCTCGGCATCCACCCAGTGAGGCAGGCTCCTCCTAAGCCCCCAGGTCAATTCAGGAGATCCCAGCAGCACTCCCGGATTGGGGCTGGCGGCAAGCCCACCTACAGCCTAGCTCAGACCAGGTACACATGCCAAGGTAAATGGAGCCCCTGGTGTGGTGGTTTCACCTTGGCTGGATGCCAGGTGCCACCCAGCCGCTCTATCACTCCCCTCTTCAGCTGGGCAGGGGAAAGAAAACATAATGGAAGGCTCATGGGTCGAGTTAAGGACAGGGAGATATGACTCAGCAATTACTGTCATGGGCAAAACAGACTTGACTTGGGGAAATTAGTTTAATTTATTACCAATCAAATCAGAGTAGGGTAATGAGAGGTAAACCCAAATCTTAAACACCTTCCCACCACCACTCCCTTCTTCCTGGGCTCAACTTCACTCCTGATTTTCTCTACCTCCTGCCCCCAGTGGCACAGTGTTTGAGCACTGCTCAGCAGTAGCCAAAACATTGGTGTGTTATCAACCCCTTTCTACATAGCAATAGAAAGCACATCCCTATGCAGCTTGACCCAATATATGTGGGCAGCAGGCATGGGTGGGGGTCCCAGGTGAGTCCAGTTGGGGTGACCAAGTCCTGTTGGTGCCCTCAGGACCCCGAAGCGCCGCAGCTCTGGCAGCTGTTACCCTTCACAGGAGATGACCCCCCCCCCGAATCTGCCCCTGGCCCCAAGACACCACACCAGGGTTCAGCATTGGCTCAGGGGGCCCAGACGCATAACCAACCTTTCTCCTCTTGGCAGGACCCAACCCCTGGCTCCCTGGGGGCCTTATCCTGCTGTGCACACTTGCTGTGCTCACCATGGCTGCTGCGGCTGTCAGCACGAGGCGAACAACAGCATAGAAAACCTCTGTTTCCAAATAAACACGGCAGTAGCAGAGAGGCTCTTGCCTGTGTCTTTGCAGGGATATTTTGGGAAGGCGGCAATGGTTGGATGCAAATGGTGCTTGAAGGCTGAGTCATATCAGGGTGTTTCTGTTCCCTGTAGCATCCCTAGGACCTTCTCATCCCCTCCTGACCCTCTCTAGACTCAAAACACATACCCAGGAAAACTGGGGTGCAGGAGCAGCTCTTGTGTAAAAGTAGGTGGGGGCATGCTGCTGCGCTCTGCAGGATCTGGCTGCCGCCAGCCCTGCATCTGGGCTGGGGCTGGAGGGTAATGCGGGTTCCTGCCCAGACTCTTCCTTACTCTGGGCAAGGTTTTGGCAGGGGCAGAGCCCCAGAGATGAGGGCGCTTCAAGGCTATGGGGGAGCGTCAGCTGGAGAGACTTTGGCAGAAGGGACATCTCCACTGTGCAGAGCGGGGGATTGAGGCGTTTTGGTCTCATTTACAGAGAATAGATTTCACGAAACCCAGAGTGCAGGAGAGGGATGGGAGGTTCCTTCCTCCTGCTTCCCCCCTCCCCAGAGGCACCCAGGACGGACTTTGCATGGTTCTGTGTGACACGAAGGCAGCATTAGCAGAGAAAGGGCTGCTCCATGCGCGCACCTCTCCGTGCTGATTCCTTCCTTCTGAATGATGATAAATTTCCAGCAAAATTTTTGCCCATCAATACATCCTTAATAAAAAGTAAATAACAAATGATATTGTAAGCATCAAAGGCTAAATCCACAGTGCTCAGGCAGCCGGCGGAGGTTTTATACTAAAACACAGATAAGGAGATGTGTGTTTCCCTGCGAGGGGGCTCAGCTGAAGCATGGGGTCCTTGCAGAAATCATTGCTGGCCCCAGAGGGGGCTTTGCAGGAGGGAAATACAGCAAATCCCTGCCCGAAGAGCTCAGCCCAGGTCTCTTTGGAGGGGTCGTATCTCAAAAAAGCTTACGGGACTTCTCTGTTTTTCACTAATACCCAGCCCTAAACCTCCCCAGTCTGTGCTGGAGCAAGTCAACCTCCAACAGCAGAAACCCCCACCACGAGGCTGGTCCAGCGCCAAAGGCTGTCCTGGAGGAAGGCAGGGGGTTTGGGGGCTCCCTCCTTGCCCCTGCAAGACCCCCGGGGAATGAGATCAGGGGCACTTCAAGAGCACGGAGGAGCTGCAGCCTGGAGGGACTTGGACAGAAGGGACGTCTCAGGAGCTCCTTGCCCAAGGCAGGCCACTAGGAATGAAAGGGCCGAAGCAAAGAGCCCTGCTAAGGTGGATCATGCCCACTGAAGGGTAAACTGAGGCACAGTAAATGCAGCCCTCTGCGAGGAAACTACATCCCTCGGGATGGAAGCTTGCTCCCTGCAGGCATGCGTGCAGGCAGGGAGGGAGATCTGGGTCAGACCTAGGAGGCCATGGTGGTTTTGTCATGTCTGATGATGTGGGAGAGGGAGCCAGTGGCCTCCTTTGTCTTCGGGTAGTAGAGGGCAACCAGCCAGATGAATATGAAGATTCCTGCAGGGGAAGGCAGGCACTCAGCAGCAGCAGGAGGTGGTGGGAAGCATCCTGCTGGGTTGCTGCCGGCGCTTCCCTGCCACTTCCAGGGGTTTCCCCCACTCTCTCCCCTCCCGCAGGAGGGGCTCCGCATGCTTCAGGTGAGCCCTAGGGGGATAACGTTCCTGTTCCTCGGCTAAGGAATGGCTTCCTTGGAGGCAAACCACCCGTGGTGGTGTGGACGTGGTTGGGAGCCGTGACCAGCTCCACACCAGTGGCTGGGACCCGCTGCCAGACGGAAGGGCATGATAGTGCTGGGAAGGTGCCAGCGCCTTGAGACCCCAGGTCAGCCCACTGACAGGCTAGCTCCCGCCTCCTCCATCTTCCCCACCCAAGCCCAGAGCCCTCACCTTGGAGAGAGTTGAGAATGGTGAAGAGGTAGAGTATGGGCGCAGAGGAGGTGCTGTAGGTGAGGAATGCCAGGGCCCAGGTGGCTCCCAGCAGGCAGAAGAGCCCCACCGCCACCAGGGCCACCTTCCAGGCCTTGTGGCCCCCCTGCGCCGCCCCCATGCCCTGCAGGTAGCAGCTCTTCCAAGTCACCACCCCGAAGATGGCCATGTTGAAGAGAAAGATGAGACCAAAGTAGCCGCAGTTGGTGATGTAGTGGACCAGGACATGTTTGGAAGTGATCCAGCACCTGAAAAGAGACAACCATGGTGCCTGCAGTGGCTCTGCTAGCCCCAGCGGCACCTATGGGAGCCTCCCCAGGGGACGTGTTTGGGGATGCAGGGACACCCTTGTGCTGGTGGGGTTTTCCAAGGCCAGGGTGGAGCAGGGGGGACAGCGTTGTGGATCCGTTGCCCTCGTCTTGCTCAGCTAGGAGGGAGCCTGGGGAAGGCTGGACATGGTGGACCATGGCCATCCAGGTGGACCTTGGATGTCCCTCCATGACCTGGAGGCCTGCTGGCATGCATGAGGAGGCTTGGTAGGAGAGGTGGTGGTGGTGACCACAGCTGTAGCTGCTGTGGTGTAATCACGATGAAGGAAGCAGAAGCACAGCCTAAAGCTGAGCAGGGCGGGCATGATCCCCCACACCACACCCCTGGCAGGACTGGGTTACCGCTCCCCATGCCAAAGTGCCACCCAAGCACGCACAGGTGGGCTATGACCTGGTGCTCCCCAGTCTGGATCCTGTGTGGTCCGTAGCTGCCAATGGCTCCTGCCACCCCCACCACGAGAGCAGGGAAACCTGGAAGAACAAGGGAAACCCATGGAGGTGGCCAGAAAGGCAAGTGGTGGGCGAGGTGGTCGACTTGGGGTCCCTCCCTGTCCTTGGCTGTGCTGACCTCAGGGAAGATGAACCCCGCTGAGGTTGCACAAGTGTGGGGGCACAACAGAGAGGGAAGGACAGCACTGGGTGGCAGGACTCAGGGTGTCCCCTAACCTCTCGGGGGGATCATCCGCTCCGGTGCCCACCCAGCTGCCATGGAGGGCTGGCAATGGGGAGAACAAAGACCCCTGGGGACTGGGAGGAGGCTGGTCCCCAGCGGGATGGGGGCTGCCTGTGGGTGCTGCCCTGGGTTTGGTGCACCAAGCCTGCACAGGACACTTCCCAGACTTGACCACAGCACTTGGAAAAGCTGTGGGCAGGACGGGGGCTTGCTCGCGCTCTGCCCATCACTGCATTGCCCCGTTCCCCCTCCGGCTGTAACCCACTGCCCCTCTCTCCCCCCAGCTCTCACCCAGGCTGGTGGTGCTCACCCCAGCCGACCAGGCACAGCTTTGCTAGGTAGTGGCGGATGTAGATGCCAAGGACCTTGACGAAGAGGAGGTAGAGGTGACAGCCCTCCAGTGCCATCCAGGTGAAGCAGCAGAGCAGGCAGTAGTGGGTGAGCCCTGCCAGGACCTTGCAGGTCCCTGCCTGGCTCCCATGGGAGAGCCTGCTATTGAGCAGGAAGGCCAGGTTGAGGAGGAGCAGGCTGCCCACGAGGTTCATGTGCAGCCCCAGGTTGATGCGGAGGGTCTCCTCGGACCTAAACCTGCACCTGAGCATCCCCGGAGGGATCAGAAAGGCAGGGCTCGCAGCTGAGCAGGGCCCCCTGCTGTAATGCAGCAAGCTCCTGCAGAGGCACCAGCATCGCCCCACATCCCTCCCAGCCTCACGAGTCCCCAGGGAGCTGCTGGGATGTCCTACCTTAAGAAGATGCAGAAGGTGATGGTGAAGATGGAGAAAACCATGGCCACCCAGCAGCCCACAGTGGCAACAGCCATCAAGCCTTTTGCTGTGGACCTGTCCAGAGCTGGATTCTGCCAAACATGCATATGTTGGGTAAGACAGGCCCTGGACTGACCCAGAAAACCCAACTGCAGCTACCAGAGCCACGGGGCTGATAGCCCTGGCAAGCTGCTGCAGGGACCCCACGCAAACCTCCCAGGCTGACCCGCAGGAGATTTTTGTGGGGAGGGGGGTGGTGGTGGCTCAGAGGAGATGCTCCCTGGTCCATGGTGGACCACTGTGAGCACCCTCCTGGGAGCCTCCACCAGAGGATGGGACCCCAAGTCTCACTGCTCCAGAGCCTGCACCAGGCTGGGGACCATCTCCACCCTGTACCCACTCTGCTGAGCTGCTGCTGCCCTCCTGAGCCAGGTCTGGGTCTGATTTTGGGACCTGGGCTTGCCTGGGAGCAGGTATAACTGTCCCTGTGCACCCGAGGGGCCACCAAGGTGGGGCAGCACAGCCAGGGTATGAGCAAGAGCTGTGGGGAGCAGAATTGTCACCAGAAGGAGGGTGAAGAAGGTGAGGTGGTCACAGGAGCAGACTGTCCCCTTGTCCCCGGGCTGCATGACACATCCGGTGTTTCTCCAGCCTCCTGCCTGCCCTGTGACAGGCACAGGGTGATGGCCGTGAGTGCCAGGCACAGTGCCCATGCCCAGCCCCACACCTGGCGCCCCAAGCACCGTACCTTTGCTGGGGTCCCAGAAGACACATTGTGGGGTGATGCCCTGCAAGGGGGGCGAGCAGCATCAGCCGACACCGCAGCGAGGGGCACAGAAGAGGGAGGGAGGGAGGGCACAGCTGACTTACGTGGGGCAGCTGCCCGTGGGCAAAGGTAAGCCGCACAGGGTCCTGCAGCCCCGAGATGCTCGTCTTTCCCACCATGATGCCCACCACAGTGTCATCCAGGACCTGCCCCGTCTGGTTGGCCTCCTGTCAGGGGGCGATGCTGCCTGAGCTGAGCTGGCAGGCAGCAAGTGCCGGTGGCCAGAGGGGTGCTACCTTGCAGGCCTGTACCTTGAACATGCCAAGCTGCTGGGTGTTGAGGACCATCACCACCACACGCACTCTCTGGCTGCTCAGGGACCTGAATAGCTCCCTGGGGAGCTGGATTTTGCCTGCTTTCCCCTTCTCCATCGTGTTCAGCATCCTGGGGCCCTGTGGCAGCAAACAGCCATGGGGGAGTTGCTCGCTGGCAGCATCACCTCTCTGCTTGAGACCCCCAATCTCGCCCCAGGCACAAATTCAGCCCTGCCCAGGTGAGTTTTGCTCAGCAACATCAGCCGGCGCCCCAAGGGCAGAGGAGAGAACCTCATCCCCAGCAGCGAGGAGGCAGAGCTGGGGGCAGCTCCCAGGGGAGCCCAAACCCACCATAACCCCACAGACATGGCTTCCTGGGACATCCAGAGAGTGGGAGAGCCTGGGGGTGGGCAGGAGGCACAAGGGCCCACACCTTCCTACTCTTCCTCCTGATCTCCCGCCTGCTGCTGGGAAGGCTCCTCAGGGAGAGCTCTTCCCTCCCAAGCACCATTTCACGTGAATCCTTGCCAAGGGGATGCCAAAGCTGACGTGGCTCCATGACGCAACTGTGGAGCGGGGTGGAGGAAGTGCGCGCCATGGGAGGCCAAGCCCCGGGGCAGGGGCTGAGGGATGCTTGGAAGGCGCGGGGCCTTCTGAGGGAGGGAAGAGGGTGGATCTTACCTCCGTGGGGGAAAAGGTGATGAGGACATCTTGGGTGACAGCCCTGCTGACGTTCAGGAGCAGCACCTTCAGCCCGGCCAGCCCCCCGCGCAGTGCTGGCCCTGCTGACTGCAGCAACCTGAAGGGCAGGGGGGCTGTGGGACGGTGGCCATGGGGGGCTGACCCCTCAAGCCCCGCCATCGCCACCCCTAGCCACTACCTGAGCCAGCGCTCCCGCCGGCAGGCGCAAGCGGGCCCGC